CTGCCTTGCTGGCTGAGACTGCCGGTGCCCGGCTCCGCACCGGGGAACACACGGCCCACCTCGCTGGCGCTCTGGCCGTTGTCCTGCTCGTAGCTGTGCTCGTAGTTACCCTGCGGGTCCTGGACGAACCGCTGGCTGAGGGTGCGTACCCCCTGCGGCGCGGCCGCGGCGACGGCCACCAGGGCGACGAGGAGAACCTGACGGCGGAGCACGCGCTGCTCAGAGGGGCGGGAAGGGGTGCAGCTGAGGTCATGGTGGGGTGGCGGAGTCAGGAGACGACGCTTTATGATGAGAGCAGTGGGCTTGATCCGTGCCTAACGCGTTGTATTCGACTATAACGCTTCACCGATGATTGGTGTTATGCTACATTAAAGGTACTTGCTGGCTGGGAGGACCTTTGTTTCGCGCAGTTGTGCTTTGTGCTTTGTGCCCAGTGCTTTAATTCGATCGGGATTGAGCAAGGCTAAGTGAAGGGTAGTTCGGACCATTGGCATGCACGGTCAAACCCCAACGCCGATAAATAAGCCTTACGTTATGATAAAAAGACTCATAATGGTGTGATCGGCCAGTTGCATTCTTTATAACCCCCAAACCTCTCTGAATCGGTTGTCTTAGGCTGTGACCAGGATGTCAGCATTTTCTTTTGATTAGTTAGGCCACTGAATTTATTTCCGCCTGAACACACTTGCTTAAATGCTCAGGGAAACGCCAAAGCGATGTCAGTTAGCATGTCAAGCGGTGCTGCAAACTCACCAGCTTCATATCTCCGTGTGTGGGGACTGGTGGATGTCTTGCCTGCGGCCGAAGATGACTGGATGGTGGTAAGCTGACGACCAGGCCTTATATACTCGGGAGCGGCACCTCGTGACCTCCCCCGATGATCCGGCCGAGGTATCGCAACTGCTCGTCTGACCCGGCCCGCCTGTGGTCTGGATCGGCGCGTGCAGAGCTCGGCATCCGCGTGGTATCTGTCAGTTTGTTCTAAGTCACTGCTAGCTGTTGCATCATTATTAATATCGTATTCATTTTGCATGGAATAATGCTCTGGGTGCCTTTATAATGTTGTTGTCATGTCAAATCACGAAGATGACTGGATGGGCCCCTCTGCAAATGTCCCAGTTTTTTTCACGACACAGCACAAGTTGATCGGTACAAACACTTGATTGCAATACACAGCAGCATTTTATAGTAAGGCGTGCCAAATGTAAACAATAACCAACGTTGCCTTGAACAGAGGGGAGAACATTTATTGTAAAATCGTGGCTATGAGGACGTCTCACTCCCAATTTGATGGCAAAACACGAAAAGCGGCATTGGTAGTCATTGGTAGTCAATAGAGCTTTCCCATGCACCAAATGGTCTGTACAAAAGATATTCCACAGGGCTTCCTGGCAGGCTAGGATGTTCAACGGCTGGACCTGCCGCGGATGGCCGATTGTTCGCTTCATCTTGTCGACGCCAAGCCTCGTTTCATCATTTGTCCATCCCAAGCCTGGAGGTGGACTTGAGGCCTTGAAGGTTTGCTGGCCTCTCCATGTGGGCGTAGTTCTTAATGGTGGACCCTCAGTAAGAAATCCAGGGCAGAAAGGTCGGGCGAGTAAGCAGCCACGGCAAGGCAGTCTTAAGCTGGTGTACTTTCCAGGAAAATGTTCCTCCAACCAATTCAATGAAGCCCATGTCGTGTGCGGTGTCACCGCGTGGTGGTTGAGCCACTCTTCGTTCCGACCGATCACGCGAATTCTCCCCAAGGCCACCCAGAAGGGTAACAAACCGTAACGATGTTGCGCTTTGAGTGGTGTTGAGAAGCTACTCGTTCTTGTTCTTAAATGAGTATCTCGTGTAGAATTATAATTTTATAATGTCAGATCACTGTTGACTGCCATTTCGATCATGTTTTGAGCAGCGTCATTTGAATGCAACCGTAGTGTATCTTGATTATGCGAGATATGAACTCGTATCTGCGTTGAATAAAAAAGAGTTGAACTTTTATCTGAGCACGCTGTATAAACGATGAGTTCACTTATGCACACCCTTTTTACCCTTTTGAAAGATATTTTTCAACCTGATGTTGTATTGTTGAATAGAGAGCCTACGGCATGATCGGGTGACCCCACTCAGTGTCCTGAGTGCGAGCTCGAACGGAAACGAAGGAATATATTAGCATGACTACGTTCACACGACTGAGGATCAGAAGATACAGATACCACTCTCCGTAGTTGTGATATGAATACTATTTTCTGGAAGCCATGAGACCTGCCGAATTGTGGTGCGTTTAGAAGGTGGCAGCAGCAAGGTTTTTTCAATATTTGGTCCGAACCTTGCGATTTGATATATTTCTGGAATGATCGCCCGAGCTAAGCTGTACTTGCGGCGTGGGCCATGCCTCGACCATCTGATGGTAGAATGCCGGACCAAGAGCCTGATTGTGCGACGACAGTTTAACGTGCCGCAATGCTCGGCACCGTTCACCTGGCTTCTAATGTTACGTCACTGTTATCGCGTTGGTACAGTATTTGTTAACAAAACGACTCGGGTGACGCGCCCCTGTCTCCAGTCTTTACCAACTCTGTCCTTCCAGTTATCCACATGTCTGTTCAGAAGGTGGTGCAAGATGGGTGTCGCTTTTAATATGAGTGTATCTTAGCAACGAGCGAGAGACAGGTCTCATGGCCTGGTCTGTACGTGTCACCCCAAGCAATTCTGCATGAAATCGCATTTTATTTTCGTATGGGGCCACCTTTGATGGACAAATAAAACAAAATAGCATATTCACTGTGTTTACAAGTAGTCAAGTAGTCAAAATATCTCTTCCGTAATTATGTCATATTCTAAGGTGTCCACCAAAAGTTAGCCTTACATTATCTTGAAATTGGAAGTTTCTCAGCAGCAGCACACTTTTGGAAACTACCAAATACGAAAAAGGAATAGTTTTGAGTTGCAACCCATAATAAAAAAGACCAAAATCTAGAGATATATCAAGCTTTTGGGGTTTGGGCCACGTCAACCCTGCCGGTTCCGCCACATGACGTGACAACTCTGGTCACATGGAACCATTGTCTTGTGTCCTAGTCTTCCGCCACTGGCTGAACATGGCTTTCTTCATACTTAATGACGGCCACAGTAACTGAGCGCGCCAGTTGACGTGACTGCATCCGAACTAACACTATTGGCAAAACCAACCATATCTCACCGACACCACCTCTGCACATCATGTGTAAACACAGTCATGGGGGTAGCCATTGGGCGTGAGCGAGGGGAAGGGGGGGGGCACATATCCACAACGCTTGATTTGTCCCCCTTTTTGTTTAATGTCAGAAGAGCGTATCGATGTATAAAACGCTTCAAACAGGTCGCGATTCTAACTTGAAAACCAAGAATGGATCTATGAAAGGTCGACAGGACTTGTTCCATTGTAAGAAATATTACACATTATTTCAGAATGACTCCGACGCAGACGTGCATGTGATGTGAACATGTGTTGCGACTGTAGTGATAGCCTGCATGCTACCGCTTAACAGCGTTCCAAGGAAATGAAAAAGTTATGCCTTTGGGCTGGTTTTTCACAGTGCAATAAAGCGCAGAGGACGTACAAGCACGGTGTAGGAGGGTACGACCAACAAAATGTTTTGTATGGCTCAAAATATATGGTTTATGGTAAGATGGCGGCACAGGTCGATGTGCTTTTCGGAACGAAACGGTTAAAGGGCAGTTCGACGGCGTATCTTCCACCTGGTCGTACCATAAAAGGGCAGTTCGGCGGCGTATCTTCCACCTGGTTGTACCACAAAAGGGCAGTTCGGTGGCGTATCTTTCACCTGGTTGTACCATAAAAGGGCAATTCGGCGGTGTATCTTCCACCTGGCTGTACCACAAAAGGGCAGTTCGGCGGTGTATCCTCCACCTGGTTGTACCACAAAAGGGCAGTTCGGCGGTGTATCTTCCACCTGGATGTACCACACAAGGAGTGTCGCGGAATGAAATCCGCATGTATTGTGCTTCGTGCCCGGAGTGAAAGAAATATTTGGCTGCTGTTGATGGAACTTTGCGAAGGAATTTTTCCGTGAATAATATTTTCGGCAGAGACCTCCCAGCTCATTATCTCGAAACAACAAGATTTAAGACCTTTCTGGGTTATATCAGCTTTCATGACGTCAAATCGTTGGTCACGTTAATGTTTAAGACGACCATCCTGGAGACCCATTCGTTTACCAGTCTTTGCCTACTCTGTCCTTCCAGTTATCGTCATGTCTGCTGAGAGAGTCGTGGAAGATCAGTTTTGTCTTTATACATAGTTACATTGTGGCAGTGCACTCGAAAACTTCCCATAAGCCTTCGTGCCCACATATCAAGCTACGCCATTCTACATAAAACTGTCTATTTGCGCTTCGGGCCACTTCCGATCAGTGGTGAGCGCCACCCAATTTCCATTGATCAAGGGAGATCGAATTACTGTGGTGTTTTTTGCGAGCCATCCATCATAATAAGGTTTTCAAAATGTATCGTATCACATCGGCTTCCAATGGCAAGTGACACTGGCAAGTGACGCCCCTGCTTGAGCCATTCCTCACTCTAAAAGCCTCTGCCTACTGCAGCCCATTCTTGTATCAATCCCATAGTCTTGTTCCGCGACAAATACCCCCAATTTTGCAGAATGGCATGGCGTATGAGCGAGTTCGCGCGGCAACAACATGACGTACCGTACCTAACAGATACCATTTCGTACAAAAGGGACTTACGAAAATGAACCTATTGTAGCCACCGATTCGACAAACTTGGAAAGGAAGTTTGTTGACAAAAGCATACGAATGCTGACCCCTGCAGGTGCCGATCCAGACCACACGCGGGCCGGGGCAGACGGGCTGTTGCGATACTCCGGCTGGATCATCGGGGGAGGTCACGAGGTGCCGCTCCCGGGTATATAAGGCCTGGTCGTCGGCTTACCACCATCCAGTCATCTTCAGCCGCGGGCAAGACATCCACCAGTTCCCACACACGGAGATATGAAGCTGGTGAGTTGGAAGCACCGCCTGACATGCTAACTGACGTTGTTTTGGCTTTTGGCTGAACAAACGGAACTCTGGCGGGGAGAAACTGCGATGTGCCCTTTAGTGATTAGTGCATACTACAACTGACTGCAAATGTGATAACTGCTTCTGAAATGGTACCTTTTTTATTTGAATGCAGCTGACCAATCATAGCCTCCTCAAGGTTTTGTAGCATAACCTCGTCAGGACTACTCATGAACTAGGTTGACAGTGAGGCCGGTAACCTCGCTGGGCATACCTTGTTGCACTGACACTGGCCCGATCATACAAAAGTATCTACTGCGGATATCTGACACGCCATGCGATGCCATGAAATGGCCGCTAGTGGCGAAGACTTTCCCGACAGGGTATATGCCACCAGTTAAGCATTGCTGTAGCCATAAGTAGTTGGATGTAATGCCATAGTTACGGATCAAACCCAGCACGTGATATTTCGCGTCGCCGACTGACTCCACCACCCCACCATGACCTCAGCTGCACCCCTTCCCGCCCCTCTGAGCAGCGCGTGCTCCGCCGTCAGGTTCTCCTCGTCGCCCTGGTGGCCGTCGCCGCGGCCGCGCCGCAGGGGGTACGCACCCTCAGCCAGCGGCTCGACCAGGACCCGCAGGGCAACTACGAGCACAGCTACGAGCAGGACAACGGCCAGAGCGCCAGCGAGGTGGGCCGTGTGTTCCCCGGTCCGGAGCCGGGCACCGGCAGTCTCAGCCAGCAGGGCAGCTTCCAGTTCGTCAGCGACGATGGCCAGACGTACCAGGTTGCGTACGTGTCGGACGAGGGTGGCTTCCAGCCGCAAGCGGCGCACCTGCCCGTGGCGCCGGCGCAGATCCCCGAGTACGCCCAGCTGAGGATCGACCACCCGGAGCTGTTCTGGGCCGAGGGCGCCCAATAGACGGCCAATGATGGTCTTACCATGTGACGGCTGTACCGAGACACGAGCGGAAACTTGTGACCCTGTGATTCTGACCTGAATGTGCTCCTGTATGATGCATGCTTTGCTTTGCAATAAAATGCTTACATATTGAAGGGTTTGTTGGAGACTTATCTCCGGCGTGTGACGATGCCGTGGCCAATGCCCGGATCAAGCGGACAAGGTGTTCGCTCAACACGTGTGCTTGGAAGGCGATCCGGACATGATTGCCCAGGCTGGCCGCCGAGCCACATCGGGATAGCAGAAAAATGCTGGCTGTACTGGTATAGACTTACCCATTAGTGGGCCAGTTCATTTAACTTTTGCATTATTTGCAGTGAGGTATTCATAAATCTAGCGTTCATTAATGCAGATTTATGTGATAAATTGTGTCAAAGATTTATTGTATCTTCTATGTTGTGCTCGGGTTTGCGTTGATTCGCGCAGGGTAAAAATGGCATACATTTTTGGGGTGCCATGCAATTTGGAAGGATTCGGCAGCAAAGTGTTGGACACAGCTCTGACGCAACTCTGACGAATTGCAACTGCGGTCACCGGCGTGAGAAACTCGTTAGAATTGATGCTTCCGGCTGGGCGCGTGCTGTGGGATTGGGTGCAGCAGTCACGGGACCGCATAGCGCCTGCCTGCTGTTGTTGGGTAGGTGGTGGTTTAATGGCGATTTCGCTGGCGCCTCGGATATTCTCAAGCAGGCACATCTAGGATGCACGTTGTTTTCCCACACTTGCCATACCTGATTGACTGCAATATGGTTGGTGGTGTCGAAGCGGTTGCGCGAAAGATGTGGTGTAACAATGATTCAAGAGTATTTTGGCCTGACTCGTCCAGTGTGCTGGATGGGAGATGAGAGTTCACTTGTCCTTTAAAAGCTAGTGCTGTCCATCTCGTGTAAAGTCTGGTGCATGCTGTCACTATTACTGACTAATCGACCATGAAAGGCCATATCAACAGTGATAAAACTGAGTATGAATAAAGCTTGTGTGTCAAAAAACTGTACTCCTCAATCAGCATTTTTTATTGTCTGTATCTGGTGACCATTTGTTTCAAACAGGAAGAGCATGCCCAAAGTTCTCAAGCTATTAATGAACACCTCAGCAAAATTCAAAGATGTGAAAAGGAGGTAAAAATCTTAAACTAGCAAATGCAGTTAATAAATATCAATAGGCACTAACAAAGGGTGGTCAGGCATGGTGATTCCATTAAATGTAATTGTTATATAGGAATGAAAGAAGACAACATATGAGGTTTAGAATGTGATTGACAGACTGATGGCAAGACAACGCAATAGAGGATTATGTGCCACACTGAGGGGAGTTGTGTCATCTATGAAGGTCATATGAAGGGCTCTGGTGATATAGGACCATACACTAGTCATCTGGTATCAGATTTGGGCATGTCAGTGATAGCAATATAGTTCAGGGTTTGGTACCCAGTAGATATGAGAGGATTAGTCAACTCTGTTATAGGGCAATGCTTGTTCATGCTGTGCCCAGTTGTTACTTTTTTCCATCTTCTTCTTGTTGCTTGTTTTCTTGTTTTGTGTTGTGTGTTTTTTGTATGTCTTTTCAGCAAGCTGGTCCCAAATGGAATATGTTTGAAAAGCTGTATTTATTGAGCATGGAGGAAACATGTGTAAAAAAGTCATGATGAATTATCTGTGATATTTACTTTGACCATGAGCCCAGGGTTGCATTGGAATTACCATCAAACCATTCCGGAATGCCTCTCATGTTAGTGAAAATATTCCACAATGCCAGATATTAGATGCTGTTGATAAATTGCATTCCACCCCTGCCCTGTGTCAGTATTCTAATGCAGTAAATAAATCAACAGTTCTGCTCAAACTAAACTGGGTGCAGTATTATGTAGTACAGACAGTGACCAAGGCATGGCACAGGAGCATAGCATAAACAGTGTCATAATAACTAAAATGTATGGAAGTGTAGTAAGTTGTGTAGAAAACAAAACATTTGGAGGTAGTTATGTTGGCTCAAAGGTGCATTCATGATCTATTTGCAGTGCAATGGCATCCTCCATGTACCACCTGCCATGGATTATAGACAACAATGTGGCCATCACCCTGCCAAGCTGCATGTACCGGATGACGCCGATCATTGCTGGTCTTCCAGATATCAACTGTGACCAGAAGGTGAGCTCATCACATTTGTTTTACATTGCAGGCACAAGCCAGCTGATCTTTCTTGTATGCAATCTTTCTAACCACATTCTTCAGCATGTAGACATTTTATTGCAAAGCAGAGCACACATACAGGAGCACATTCACGTCAGAATCACAGGGTCACAAGGTTCCACTCGTGTCTCGGTACAGCCGTCACATGGTAAGACCACCATTGGCCGTCTATTGGGCGCCCTCGGCCCAGAACAGCTCCGGGTGGTCGATCCTCAGCTGGGCGTACTCGGGGATCTGCGCCGGCGCCACGGGCAGGTGCGCCGCTTGCGGCTGGAAGCCACCCTCGTCCGACACGTACGCAACCTGGTACGTCTGGCCATCGTCGCTGACGAACTGGAAGCTGCCTTGCTGGCTGAGACTGCCGGTGCCCGGCTCCGCACCGGGGAACACACGGCCCACCTCGCTGGCGCTCTGGCCGTTGTCCTGCTCGTAGCTGTGCTCGTAGTTACCCTGCGGGTCCTGGACGAACCGCTGGCTGAGGGTGCGTACCCCCTGCGGCGCGGCCGCGGCGACGGCCACCAGGGCGACGAGGAGAACCTGACGGCGGAGCACGCGCTGCTCAGAGAGGTGGGGATGGGTGCAGCTGAGGCAGCATTCCAAATTAGTCCAGTAGGGTGTGTGGGATGTACACATAGATTCATGCTACCAGAATCCTGGCTCTCCGGTGGTCCCCGCATGCAGTTCTTTGGCGCTGATCCGTCGCCTTTGACCCCGACTCAGACGTCTGACCTATCCAGCCCATTTGTCATGCCTGAGGCGCATAGATACTGGTCTGACAGCCGCCCGATTCGATCCTGATTGGCCGATCGTGAGCAATGGGAGGGGCCACAAGCAGTGAGCCCAAAGCCAGGGTGTTACAGCATGAAAAAAAATATTGGCATCCTTGCCACCCAAGTGGTTGAATATTGAAACACCGTCCTGAGGTCATGACGGAGTGGCGTCAGGTGGTGGTGGTGGATCAAGTCAGGTGGTGATGTGTTAATATGAAAACAGTGGGTTTGGTGTGTGACTGAGCCGTGGTACCCGACTGCAATGCTGCACTAATGATTATTGGTATGCTTCATGAATGGCATTTCCCAACCTCTACTACGGGCGGTCGTCCTACGTCCTCGGCTGAATCGTTAGAAGCTGCCAGTGCTTTAGTCGGTCGGGCCTGGGCAAGGTTAACCCAAGATCAGGCCGCACCATTTGTATGCAGCGTTCATTGTGGACGCATCATCGTAGGTGTGTCAAAGTCTCTAACTCCAACTCTCAAAAATTGTCCTGCTACATTTATGTTAAAGGGAATGTTTCACATCTGAAGGTATTGAAGCAAACATCAGATGTGATGAAACGGGCTCAGTTATACCCATGGGTATGTTGTTAAGTAGAAAAGATTGTTCTATAATATGCTCTTCAGTACGTCGTTGTTTTATTACGTCATCGTACCTTGCACAACATCGACTGAAAGCTGATTGACGGCTCTTCTGTCTAGAAATTGTACTCGTGAACGTGAGATTTGAACGTCTCGACTATTATATTTTTTATCGGCCTTGGTTGCTGCATGGCTTATGAAATGACAGGGTTTGAGTGGCGTCATTTTGACGTTACGAATACCAGGGTGACTTTGAAATGCTGTCCCCATTTTCGTGGGCGTTTAGCCTAAAAACTAGAGGGGCTTAGGTCTTAAGAAGGGTAGGGCTGTAAGCTGCACCGAAAGGTCTTAAAGAATTTCTCAGGGAAAAGCCAAAGCGATGTCAGTAAGCATGTCAAGACTTGCTGCAAACTCACCAGCTTCATATCTCCGTGTGTGGGGACTGGTGGATGTCTTGCCTGCGGCCGAAGATGACTGGATGGTGATAAGCCAGCGACCAGGCCTTATATACTCGGGAGCGGCACCTCGTGACCTCCCCCGATGATCCGGCCGGAGTATCGCAACTGCTCGTCTGGCCCGGCCCGCCTGTGGTCTGGATCGGCGCGTGCAGAGGTCGGCATCCGCGTGAGTTCCCTCAGTTTCCCTGGGCAGATGTCTCTAGGCGTGAGATGCGTGGGAGAAAATGACGCTCTAGAGGAATGGCGGCATAGACGGCCTTGGTAATGTACATGGACTTAAGTGGTTACCTTGGTTGCGCTCGTGTGCGTGACTTGTCGTCCGTATTGTAATGCATAAGGCTGAAGTTGTGATGTCTTTTAGGTATGGATGTCTGTCATGAAAAAAAACGGTACAAAACACCCCTTAAAAGCGTGCGTTCACGGGGCCACATGCATCGGCCAATTGGAGAAGCTAAGAGCAGCGCGAAATTTCTGTGTCATATTCGTGGACTGCAACCACGGAAGTTGTCGGCAGTGGTCGCGACATTGATGATTAAGACCTTGCCGTGTTAGTATTTGTGTAAAGACCGCGGTAAAGGTCGACTCGCTGTGCAAGAAGACGGAGCTCTACCCCGTCGCCCATGCGTAATATCGGAGAAAATGCGCCCGTGAGATCCAAGCCCCAGTGGATGACTCAATGAAGCACTCACGATTTCTCAATTTATAATTGCACCCATAGCAACCCTATAGTGTTGAGTTGCCTTGGCAGCACCATAGATTGAGATATCGTGGATAACACCCAATCAGGGATCAAGCTACTACTCAGTCGAAATTTATCCCTGACCCGATATTATGGAAGCAACCATAATTGCTTTGTATGTTGAAGTATGCTGACTTTGCCTTCTTGGTATCTGGTTCTTAGGCGATTCTGCAGGTAGCATAACAACCTTCTTAACACCGTTCTGTCCAAATAAAATTTGGAGTTCGGAGAAATGTGGGACACCCAAGTACTTAAGAAAATACAACTTTTGAATGGACTTTCGGGACTAAAGGCGCCCGCATCTGGTGAACGGGGTCGCCATCAGTGCTTAAGACCTATATACAATTTATGGTTCCAAAATCTATGGGGTGTCTCACACCTACGTCGTTACAACAGCATTTAAAATGGCACTGAATCTTCCTCTCCCATGTGTCTTGTTCATGATAAGTTGCCTTTTGACCAAAGCGATTTATCAAGACCCGGTGTGGTAAAGTTGCTTGTCTGACTTTACTGACCATATGTTCTCAGTCATGGGGAGCTTTTGCCGTTAAGCTTTTGCGGCCACGTAGCGAGAGGGCGCAAAATCGCACTGACGTCGGCGCTCCATAAAAACTAATTGTCGCGAATCGCCAGCCAGCTATGGGAAGTGTAACACCCTAGTGGTCTTTTTGGCAGTCACACAACATGGAAGGTCATTAAGGGCCAACACTTTTCAGGATTCTGTCTGAACGATTTGATGGGATGAATTTCAGGGATCAGTGCTCACGTTAAGCGCTGCTTGTTGTGTTAATCGCGGTCCTTACCGCTCGATCTTGGAATTCCTCGTCAACGGCAGGATTTTGCAGCGGAAGCTTAACGTGTCGCAGTGCTCGCCGCTGTCTGTCCTTGCCTATGGCGTCGTGTGACCTTTTGCGCGGCCGCTGCCACTGACCGTTGCCACTGACCGTTGCCACTGACCTCTGCCACTGACCGTTACCATTCACCGCTGCCACTGGCCGTTGCCATTCACCGCTGCCACTGGCCGCTGCCACTGACCGTTGCCACTGACCGTTACCATTCACCGCTGCCACCGACCGCATGCCAACACAATCCGGGACAAAAAAATGAGCGCCAAAAGCGAATCGAACCCATCCCGCCACGGTTGTCTGTCTCGGAAGACGGGCTCTGCATCCAAGCGAGTTATCGGTACGGACTTGGGGTGCCCGTAGGTTCTACCGAACACGAGCCGCGTGGTGCACGCGACTGCGCCTACCAGCCAGCCCACCTAAGATCAGGCTCGGGTCTACCCCAATAGACCCGAACTTCCAGCTAGTTCGCGGTAGATTCGCGACAGGGCTGCTGCTTTAGCGCTCGGGCTGTGAGAGTGACCCAGCCATGCGCCGTCTCACCTCCAGAGTGTGGCAATTTCGAAACACCACGCTCTGTGAACTTGTGCCACGTTACGTTGATCATGGTGAAGATATTTCTGCCGGCCGTGTGGTTGAAGACCGCGCTCATTAGTGAAACATTGCTCTGTCGTAACGTGCCCCACACGTCTTTTGCGGAGGGCGGTATCTGGACCTTCGATGTGACATAACCTGGCCTTTCTTGACGCAAGACGAACGGTGGATCCTTACCCTGATGCACCCGGTAGATGGCGCTGGTTGTCGGGCTCTGATGTTGGCCCGTAGCCAGAGGGACGGCACGGGCTAAGTTTAGCGCGGGAGCACGTGGCGGGACCGGTGGTCGGGTTTCTGTGTACGTGATGCTGCGTGCCGGTGCGAGCTAAAGGCACTGTTCCATCGATGATGGGCAACTTTGTAGAGGCAGCTTCGCAGTTGATAACTCCTTGGTTGGCATTGTTTTCACGTCCTTTGTTTGTCCGATGCAAATGTTCATCTAAAGGGAGGCTCCTGGCTCCTCAAAAATTTTCCCCTGTTCACCCGTATCTGTGCTAACTTGTGTCAGCGGTCGTGTATAAATGATGAGCTATGCCAGTACAACTGATCAAGAGCGTAGTGGTGTTCATTTTGATCTCGCGTCCCTCCAGGATGCGGGCAAGCTATCAGCAAGCACCGACACAGCTGCGTCAGATTTGGCGCAGCTAGAGCGTCGCCAGGATACGATTCTGGCGCGGCTAGCCGCTCTCAAGGGTCAGGTTGAGACGGCGCGGCAACAGCTGGGTGCCAGCAGCAGTGTCGCCGCTACCATGGCAACCCCGCCCAGCCAACTGCCGGCGCTGGTAGGTGACCGCAAACATAAAGGGTTTTTGGCCGAGAAGCATGCGACGGTCGGTCTGTGGCCGAGTGGTTCTAGGACAGGCCTCGATTCTGTGGCTGCATGTAGGCGTTTGGCACGATCGCTGGTCCCTTGCTCGGGCACATACGTCGTACGTTTTCGTTGAGGTAGTTACGCCAAGCAGGCTGTTGCATGGTTTCCTAGTGTGAGGAGATTAGATGACTTTGTACGCGACATGAAACATAATATTACGTCGTGTTATGCTAACCAGACATGCTAGTCAAGCTGCGTCTCGACATCGAGCTTGTGTGGCGTATTAGCTACTTAGCCTGTGAGGTGTGTGAGCTACTGAGCTTGTGTGGTGTGTGAGCTACTGAGCTTGTGTGGTGTGTGAGCTTCTGAGCTTGTGTGGTGTGTGAGCTACTGAGCTTGTGTGGTATGTGAGCTACTGAGCCTGTGTGGTGTGTGAGCTACTGAGCTTGTGTGGTGTGTGAGATACTGTGATCACGAAGCGCCGCACTTACATCGCATCGCACCGCATTGTGAGGCAGTGTCTGGTCTTCACACCAATGCATTGCCGGCCCAGCCACGATCTTGACTCGTGATCACCGGATGGCACCGGACGCCGCTGTTGGGTCAAGTACCGTGCCTTTTAGAGGAGGCGAATACAGGGCCAGTTAACCGCAAAGCGGGGCCTTAAAAGGGAACGGCTAGCCTTCTCACCGTCTTGGAATGCAATCGCCATGATGCCCCATCCCCCTCCTTCCCACTATGCCTTCCATGATGCACCAGCGAGTTCCGAACAGCTGGTGCCGCGATGTCTTCCAATTGTCCTGATGAAAGCCGCTTAATTGTTCGACGACGCGTGCAACTGTTGTCCTCGTATGCCTTCGTCGGCTGTCATTGCGACAGGGCCGATGCACCTGCCCCTGAGCCGCCCTCGCCCCCAGAGCGGTGACGTGGTGGTGGTGGCGTCGCCGTCGCGGCCGCCGCACTCGCTGCTGCTGCTGCGTCGTCTCGTGCCGGCCCTCTCGCTCACCAGCCACGTGCACTCGACGGCGCCGCCCGTGGCGGACGCGCTGGGTCGACTGTTCCGGTGGCGCGGGGCTGACGGCGGCCCCCACCTCAGGCTCATCTGGAAACAGGGTGGGTGCAAGGCGGGGGAGGGGGCGGGGCAGCGTGCTCATTTTCGGCCCCGTCTCATCGGCGCATCGCTTCGGCAGGTCCTCGTCGTTTGTTGTTCAGTCTGTCGTCGGCAAACCTCAGTAGCGCTCTCAAGAGTGGCCCCATCAAAGACCCTTTGTGGTGAGACGGGCGTTTCTGGGTGTGACCTCGCCACCGGCCCGTCGTGGCCGCGTTCTGCTGACGCCGCTGACCCGGTTGCAGTGTCGGGTGAGCCCCAGCTGCTCGTCTCGGCCGACCAGCCGTGCCCGCTGGTCGGCGAGGACCAGCTGTGCCGGTTCCTGGCGCGCTCGCTGCTGCCGGGCCATTACGAGGCCGGCGGCGAGGCGCGAGCGGCGCGCGTCGACCAGCTGCTGGAGGAGGGCGGCCAGCTGCTGCACGGCGCGGGCAAACAGCGTCAGGCGGTAGGTGTGGGCTCCGTGCGTGGCGGCGTCACGCGGGCTGGGTGAAGGGAGGGGGAGGTGCACTCAGGGCTTTGGAGATACAGTCACGTTTCCGTCGACGCACGGGCGCGTTGAGGGGAGTGGGAGAGATGAGTCACCAGAAGGCTGTAGAACTGAGCTTTTCGCCTGTGGATGTTGTTTAGGAGGAAGCGTATTGAACACCTTTCCCGACTTCTGTGACTCGTCCCCAGTCTGACTTTTGACCCGCGGCGAAGGCCCTTATTGTCAGTTACTTGTTTTGATGGGGCGGTATCTGATAGAACGCAAAAAGCAGTAGAGGAGATAGTCCCTGTACCGTGGATCGAGGACAGGTGTTTTGAGAAACTCACTAGGCATGTCACGGTCGCTGACATGAAGTTGTGTGTAGCGATGAAGAACGTTTCGGCTTGTTTTGCTTTTGTCGATGGTGCTGCATCCCTCGCATTGCAGTTACAAGCTACTTCTTCATGCAAAATTAAGATCTGCTGACTGAAACATGTTTCCTGTCGAGCTGAACTTAAAGGAAAGTTTCATATTTGTGTGGGGTTTTGAACTGAAATAGCCATTTTGAAGATAATTCGACTCTGTTCATAGCCCTGCCTTTCTTGAGAGCTAAATCCGTCTAGTTTTTGAGCTACACACCCGCGAAGATGTGCAGATTATTTCGGGAAAACTATTTCGGGGTCTCCCAGGCATCTATGACGCCATAATAGCGTCGCCATTCCACTAGCCATATGCGATAAAGGGCAAGAAAAAACTGAATGTCGAGTCGTTCATATCTGGCATTCGTGAGCACGATTTCCAGATATAACCGCCGCCAATTGGCTCTCAATTAATGTTTTGCGAGATACGATGACGTGATCGAACAATGACGTAATGAGGAGCATATTTATTTAATAGAGAATGGTGTTTTGTAACGCAGCCTTTTTCACTTAAATAGTATACCAATAGTTTTAAGTAAGCTTGTTTCATCATATCTGGTACTTGCTTCGCTGTCTTCCAGTAATTATAAGCAAGCTTGTTTCAGCATATCTGATGCTTGGTTCACCATCCTCAAAGGTGGAGCATTCCCTTCAAATTGTGATCCTGGTACGTCTCGCCTCATATGCCAGAAGTCAGATGTTACCTTACGTCAATTTCGTGTATCGTGGAACGCGCCATGCAGCTTCAGCTCGCCTTGATTGCTGATAGGTTTTACCTGACTTCCTGCTGACTTTATCTTCAGTTTTGACATGATAGAAAAACAATAGTTCTGTTGATAAGGCTAAAGATAAATTGAGAGCTTCTTTAGCGTGTGTATCTCAGGATGCTGACAGCGCCAAGAAGCTTTTCACTCTGACACGCCAGGCGAGCGTCACACACAACCGGACACGTGGCGGGCAAACGGGCACCGACCTTCGTGCCTGGCGACGTAGCGCTCGAGATGGACATGTGCGGCCGAATGGGCCTGTTTTTGGTCCCGAATGTTGTGCACGGCATTGGTCTGAAGCGAGCATGTGTAAGAGATCTGTAGCCGGTCCGTGGTCCCCTCTTGCCACGGTTGTGGTATGTCGTTGACAAACTGCGACCACTTCATGCATTACAGCCCTGTAACGAAGTGTCTGTCGTCGCTGACCTTGTCTGATGAGCTATTTGACCATGTTGATGACCCCAGACCCGCCTGCAGGCGCTGCGGTCTCTGGACGCCGTGCTGGCACGCCAGCCGTACCTGCTCGGCTCGGAGCTGACGCTAGTGGACGCGGCAGTTTGGTCGGCCCTCCGCGCGGCTGCGCTGCAGTCGCCGCCCAGCGTCACGGCGTGGGGCGCGCGACTGGCGGTGGCGGCCGGGCTAGGTGATAAGAACTAGCGGAAACGCGACCGGCAAGCCATGTTCTGACGCGCCCGGAATACGCCTGTAAAGAATACCCATGTGTTCCGTTTTATGTTGGCTTTAACTGGCAGCTTGTGTTTTGCCCTCAGGTCGTAACAAACTTGGTTTTGGTGTTGAATCGTGGCTTGCTTTTTGCCACAATGGAACTTTTTGTAAGGGCGCTTTCGGTGACAGGTGTTGACACGGGTGCCGCGCGCGTCTCCGTCGCTCTCCCGAGCGAACCCCGCGCCGACGCCAGACCGGCCGCCCAGCGCGCGCCGGCTGCGACTGCCCCCGCAGCGCCCTCTGCCGCGCCGCCGCCGCCGCCTGCCGGCGGTCACATGAACCAGCCGCAGCTGCTGGCGTTCCTGGAGCGGCTCGGGATCGCGACCGAGACGATCTCGCACCCAGCTGTCTTCACCGTGGAGGCGATGATGCCGCACCTGGCGCGCGTGAAGGGCGCGGTCACCAAGAACCTCTTCCTCCGCGACAAGAAGAAGCAGCTGTACCTGCTGTCGGCGCGGCACGACGTCGAATTCCGGCTGACCGACCTCGCTCGCCGCGTGCCCGGCGCCAAGGAGTTCCGTTTTGGCGACGAGGAGGTGATGCTGGCGCTGCTGGGCGTGCGCCAGGGCTGCGTCACCGCCCTCGCGCTCGCCAACGACGGGGGGAAGGCCGTCCGCTTCCTCGTGGACTCGAAGCTGATGGACGGCACGTTTGATAAGCTCTGGTTCCACCCGCTGAGCAACGAGGCCACCACGGGGCTGTCGGTGGGTGACTTCAAGAAGTTCCTTGCCGCCACGGAGCACGAGCCAGTCCTGGTGGATCTGTAGCTTGGTTTTGGGGCGTTCGGTGCGAGCGGTGCTCACCTCTTCAGCCGGCAGAAACCCATGTTTGAACTGCCTCTTGTTTTGGGACTCCAATGACATAATAACAGGCTGTTACGATGTTTGAGATTTTGGTGATGCGAGTCAGACGGCACAGCAGAGGACAACGAAGACGGGCTGGAGACACGTCGTACCGGGTCGGAGGCAAAGATGACACGATGACACGAACTTCCATGCTTGTTGAGCAGTGTTTTACAAGTTTGGCGTCTGGTTGAAGGGAGGCGTGTATGGTAATTTTGGACGTATGGTTGCGGTGACGCTGAAACGAAGAATGGTACTGAGAGGCACAATATGATTCCATAGTATTCCCGACCGGCCCCGATAAACCGGGCGGGCAAACTACGTGCGGTCAGACCAGCCCTGCACGGGCGCTGCAATGTACCGCCCGAGTGCTGCATATTACGGGCGGCATAGTGTATCGCCTCTATCCATGTATGGGACGCGTACCTAGTCTGATATGCCGCACACTGCTGGGACTAGCAAATGTTGTCAACGAGCGCGACGCGTACATTCGCCAGCGAGGCGTCGGAAGGCTGCTGGGTCGTACGTTTTTTCTCTGCGAAAGCCTGCTGACGCCTTAAGACTGCTGAATCCCTGGAGGTTCTGAAGCAGTCAGCTGTTGCGGGCAGCAGGTGTCACGTTTGAGGCCGTTCACACCTTGTGCTCTGACTGCGGAGTCCGCTGTGAGTTCTGCGGCCACTAATCCATTTCGGGGCACAAGGTAGCCCGCGGTCAAACAGACTTAAGCCTTTGTGAGCCCCGCGGACCAGTTGACCGCGGGTAAAAACAGCAAAAGGTGCTCCTCCAGTCCAGAACACCTGACGACCCCTGCCCTGCTTCTGATTCTGCCGCATTCAGCTGCTTGTGCTCTGTAGCTGCATTCAGCTATAGAGGTACCACGTTTGAGCCCCTTTCACCTCGCTTTAAAGGTTTGTGGGCTTTAATGTGACAACTCCTGAAGTCTGCAGAATGCGCAGCAGACTCTGGGGTCGACAAGTGCTACGGACGGGAGGGGTGCCAATTTCGAACTGTTTTGCCCGCGCTTTGCTGACCAGCGGATTGCAATGTTGGATATCAAGTCGGCACTAGTTGGCGGCTGCGGAAGATCTGCAGCGGATGCTACAGCTAGTGCAAGGTGTGAACGTGCCTTGGTTGCCGCCCCAACTGACTGCGCAACTCGATACTGAACTGCACTCCACCGAAATGCACTGAACTTACTGCACTATGCTTTCGTGTTTGCAACAAATAATCAGTCAGACTTCACCTGATCAGCAGAGTATTTCCAATTTTGTTTGCTATTACCCCAAGCTTCGGTGTGAAATATGCATATCCCTCTTATTTAAGCATCTACTTCAAAACTATCAAAAGCGAACGGCGTTTTTCGTTTCGTTTTTGGTTTCCTTTTTCGCAAGTTTTGATCATTTTTGCGTGAGGACATTTTTTGTCAGGGAAATAGTGCATAAAACTTGACTTGTGGCTCAAATAATTCGAGAAGGAAAATATGCCACAGGAGCGCCAATAATTTCGGATATCAATTATTGATGTCCAGAATATAGTGGTGGCATACGAATATCTAAAGCATAGCGGAAATAGATGAGTCGATGAGGGCCTCTACGTTTGTCAGGCACCACCAATACCGAACAACCGGTCTGCAGTTTGCATTGGTTGGGGTCCCTGCTACAATGACGGGCCCTAATCAGTCAGGGGCCCAAAGTGATCAATGGGGGGGGGGGCCTGTGTCGGCAATTGGCTCTGAGTCGGCCGAGGGCCGTGTTCGAGGGGGCAAAGCGGGGGTCCGAATGGCCGCCCAGGGCCAAAGATCAAGGCCCCGAATGAACGGCTGAAAGGCCAAATGGGCCCCTCAGCCTTCAATCAATGGTCCTTAACATAAGTCACATTGGAGACCATCGCCCGCAGGCCCGGTGCCTCAAATGTCTTCTAACACGGATATGAGGCCCTTAGAGCAATGCGGGCCCCTACTTCGGCCAGAGACCATCAAAAGCGACTAGTGGTCTCCACATTGGTCTGAATCTTGGGCCGTGTTTCCTAAGCAGGGTCAAGGCCGGGACCCGCGATCTGCATTAGCCGGACTCCCGTAACAACGAGGCCCGCAGAGCCTGACAGGGCGTCCTTTGTCGGCAAGGAGCCCCGAGTAGGCCAGGGACTGGACCCCGAATGTCAGCGGGCCTCTTGTGTTGGTCAGGACCCTCTAACAATGAAAGGGGATATGAAAATGTATAATGAGAGTTTACGTTAAGACAATGAAAGGGCTCTCTGCCAGTCAGGGCCTCCAGGACGGAATGGGAGGCCACGGCCTCATTTCAGCCAAGGACCCGTTAAGCCGAACTGGAGTTCCTTTGCCAGTTATTGGACCACCCACGGCGATAAGACATCTTGCTATGCCAGTGAGGGCTCCTGTGTCGATCCAGGGCCAACTGCTGGGTCAGAAGGCCCGTCGCATGAGGGAGGGGAGCAAAGCATGATCATTCCATCTTTGTTCCTGGAGGCCTACGAGCCTCCGAGTCGACCAATGGATTCCATCCCTTTGTCGCCAGAATGACAGTCAGAAGACACCTCGTACTGGGACGGAGTGCCCTTCAGCCTTCGACCGAGAATGATTGTGTCCCCTAGGATTTTACCCACAAGGCCCCTTGACCAGAATAGGTAATAGTCGTATTAGTGCTCAATAGAGTGGATTGAAATGAGATAAAAATGGAGGAGATTCCAGATCATGTCAGCTTGAGAACGTGCATTCCCCTCCGCAATCGACATCGGAAAAAACGCGTGAAATGTTGTGAGTACGTCCGCTAGCAATCCTGGGAACGAGAACAGCGATGGCCGGGCGGCATTTTCCGTGAGACAGAACAGCGTTGGCCGCTGTAGTCAGCACCACACGGCGGGCCCCGGACGACAGAGAACGACCGTCGGGAAATATGCTTCCGGAAGTGTTTCAAAATCAAATTGTGCCGTTCAAAGATTAGACTTAGATTAGGGGTGTATATTTCACCCATATCATTTAACACGGAAAGAACTATTCCTCTTTTACCCTTTCTGTTCCACCACCAGAGTTCGGCATCAGTTCGTGGTGCTGTAGGTGCTAATCATTTGCTATCTAGTCAACCAAATCGTTCTAAAAATTAATCTAAAAATATACTAAAATCAATATAAAAACCGCCCAGTCTAGACATCCGCCAGGACTATCTCCTAAATGGACGAATTGATGGCCTCAAGTATTCACAGATGCTTCTTTTAGGTGTCATCATTTTCGTCGGCCCTTTGTCCTTGCCTTGCGTTGGCTGCGTGCCGTAAGTCACGCAAGTCGTGGAGACTGCAACGCCGGGCGTCAGGTCTTGTTCCTAAGATCTTTTAGCGCGCATGTTCAAAACTATGTTGTTTGTTTTTTGTTGTTTTTTTTTTTTGCAAATCGATTCTGGCTGAAGCTTGGGCGGTTCCAGACGAACATGGGTCGGCCATGTCAATACAAGTGTTTGGCCTCATTTCAGTCCATAGTCAACGTTCACTGAATCTTCAATATTTCTATAGGGCCCAGAAAAAATATGACAAAGCCTGTAAGTCCTATTGCTTTAGAAAAAAAACCCATTGCCTTTTGTAAAATGAAAACTACCAGCGGTTTGCTGCTTGCAGCCACTTAACGCCCACGCCCCTCAGGCTATTGCCTGAAGAATACATACAACATTGCGTTTTCCGGTAGCTTTTCTGCCTTCTGTTCCAGGTCAAGAAGCAAAAGTAAAAATAAAGCGAAAAAAGTAGCATTCAAAGTTAAGAGGACCAAGTCCAGTTATTTTTTAGGGGAGGCCGTGCCTCTGCCTCTTGTTAGCACAAGAGAGACCAGATGTTGCATTTTGTTCCTGACGGATATGGTGTTCAAAATCAAGATTATTTCGGTCAGATAACACTTTTCTTTCGAACGTCTCGTTCGACACGGCCAGGACAAACAGAGTTGCTGATGCCTCTGGAGGCGGCGCGGTGATGATCGAGGAAGCGTTTCCTCACGGGGCATGTGTATTCTCCAACGTAAGTGACAGGGCACTGGGTGCGGTTGACTTGATCCACTACACTGTTTATCGGATCCAGGCATGGCTTTCAGTGTTGAGAGTTAAAAGACTTTCGAAAGGACAAATTTCCGAGATTACAGCACCCATTACGCAGTTATGTTGTGAAAGCTTTAACTCCACCATCTAATGGTGAATTTCCAGTTCAACGGTACTTTTTGTGGCGAAAGACGACGTGCCACAGTGCTCAGCAGTTTCTGAGATCACAGCACCCGTTACGCAGTTTTCGTTGTGTGTTTTAATTCGGCTATCTAATCGTGAATTTCCAGTTCAACGGCATTTTTTGTGGCGAAAGACAAGTGCCACAACGCTCGGCGCCGTCAACCGTGCCCTTTTGACCTCATCTTACCTTGAGTGGCAGCTGTCACCGGCCGCAGCCCATCCCAGCCAGGGGCAAATAGCGGGCGCCGAAGTGATCCGAACCCTCTCACCCCGCCGCGGGTGGGTTGAGACTTGAGAGGCAAACTGTAGCCGATCGAAACACAAAGGCCAACAACCGGCTATGTTTTGAATATTTTATATTGAAGAGGCCGAGGAGTTGAGCCGACTTTTTGACTGTCGGGTTTCACAAAGGGGTCTAGGTGGTCTAGAGTCCGTGTTCTTTCGCGAGCTTCACCTGGTGTGACCACATTCTTGTTCGTGACAGTGACGGGTAATCGGGGCACGGTCGTGCTTGCTCGAGCGGTCCCTCGAATTGCTACACGGCTCGACATTGGCGGCACAGTGGCCCAACAACCAGCCAACCTCCTCGTCATCATTGATGCTTAAAGTGCATATGGCTAGGCTAACAGATCTAACTTAGACCCGATACATTGCTTCGTCAAACTTTCTTTGAGCTGTTCAGGCCGTTTGGCCGCTAGAACTGGTTTCAGCATTCATTTGTGCACATGAACGCAGCCAAGAGGACGGCCAGGTTGGCCGTATCTCCCCCCTCCCCCAAACCCCTCTGTGCCAAGAGTTTTCCACTAGATGCTGGTCGATTTCGCAGG